TTTGTTCATTTTTTTTTCAAACCTCATCCAAGTAGAATATATTACAATTCTCAAAGTACTTTCATAGATCACTTTGTTGGATGATTCCTTTTTTTTAAAGATTTTATTTTATTTTTTAAGATTTTATTTATTTATTCATGATAGACACACACACACAGAGAGAGAGAGAGAGAGAGAGAGGCGGAAACACAGGCAGAGGGAGAAGCAGGCTCGATGCAGGGAGCCCGACAAGGGACTCGATCCTTGGACTCCATGATCATGCCCTGAACCAAAGGCAGATGCTAAACCGCTGAGCCACCCAGGCGTCCCAAGATTTTATTTTTAAGTAATCTCTACATCCAACATGGGGCTCAAACTCACTTACTCTACTGACTGAGCCAATGGATGATTCCCTTGATGAGCACCCAACAGAAACCTATAGACAAGTAACAAAAAGGAACAGTCTGCAAGGGGCTGAATCTGTTAAGGGTTTCTGAATAGTTCTGAGGGCTCAATAAAGTACCATTTGCAGATGAAGAAATGAAGTCCAAAATACTAAGCAACTTGCTGACTGTCCAAGGTCAGAAGTCTGTATCTATTTTACCCTATACAACTAAGATGGCTGCTCTAATCACTAATAAACTTCACAGAAACACACCTCACAGAGTGCAAGCATTCTTTCTCTTCTGCCAAATCTTTTAAAATTCAGGTATTAAAAAGCTTTTTCATTAAATTAAATTTTACTTAGTTAACATACAGTGCAGTATAGGTTTCTGGAGTAGAATTAGCACTGATTTATCACTTATATACAACACCCAGTGTTTAATACCATCTATCTAGCCAATCCCCCACCTACCTAAAAAGCTTTTTTTTTTTTTTAAGATTTATTTACTTTAAATAATGCACAAGTGAGGGGAGAGGGAGAGAATCTCAAGCAGACTCCCCACCGAGTGCAGAGCCCCATGCAGACTCAATCCCATGACCTTGAGATCATGACCTGAGCCAAAACCGAGAATTGGATGCTTAACTGACAGAGCCACCCAGGCATCCCCTGTCTTTTCAATAAATATCTACACTACACCCAGCCCAGGACCAAAGCTGAAACTGATCTGAATCTCCTACCAAGGTGTCAGTTTTCACAGCATCACTATCAATAAGCAAAGCATCCCTCCATGGTACAGTGGGCTGTTTCTACCAAAGCTACCAGTGAGGACCCCATTTCTCAATTTCATTCACAAAGATAAAATGTTTCCAGGGTTCTTGTCCCATGCTTATTTATTTACCTTATGTTCCACCTGGTTAATAAAGTACTTAAAATAGTGGTTCTTTAATATACATGATAATTCTCAATTATTCAAGTTGGTTTTTCAGTGTGTGGATTTTATCTATTCTAGTCTTGCTGTGCGCGTGCGCGCACACGCACGCGCGCACACACACACACACACACACACACACACACACACCATCCATACCTCGCAAGTGTCCCAGAAATAAGTCTAACAATCTTGCTATGGTCAAAGTCAGAAAAACTGTACAAGGCAAAATTAAGTTCTACTTAATCACATACACTAATCCTTCCCATTAGTACCTCTACTGGGCCAGTGGCAAGGAGCCGGGTTTATGGAGATGTCAGTTGGGCAGGCAGGCAGTAGAGAAAAGGAAAAGCCTAGAGGAGCCCCTGGACTCAAAGACAGGATGCTGCTAATGGAAAGCACATCTCTGACTTCCATCCTCTGGGGCCTCAGAAACTCTGTCAACTAGAAGTCCTAGGGAAGAGCAACGAAGCATACAAATGAAAATGCTTTGGCTTCCTTCAAGAAAGCAGTCATCCTCAAGTGAGGAATCCCTCTCTGAATTAACCAGTAGGGACTAGGTCTGCAGCATAAGCAGTCTGTTCCCATGGATGCTAACCAGAGAGAAGAGCTTCACCCCCTAATTCTCAGGGAGGCACCATGGGTGTGTCTTAAGATTCTTCACTCCTAAAAGTGTTTTTCAGCTAAAGTAGACATGACGGGGCAGCCCCGGTGGTACAGCGGTTTAGCGCCGCCTGCAGCCCGGGGTGTGATCCTGGAGACCCGGGATCGAGTCCCACATTGGGCTTCCTGCATGGAGCCTGCTTCTCCCTCTGCCTCTCTCTCTAGCTGTGTCTCTATGAATAAATAAATAAAATCTTTAAAAATAAATAAATAAAGTAGACATGACGAAGTGCTTCTTTCCTTTTCTAAAGACATAAATGATTTTTAGAAAGTTTTTGATGGGGACTTTCTCACTCTGAATTGTTTTTCACTAATAAAGAATAAGCTACCTAGTGCCTTTCCTAACAAGAGAGTGGATCATCTGAGCCAGAGCAACATTGCTGGACTCTGAATCAGTCCTCTCTTACAAACTGGTTGTCACCGCTAATACGCATGTACAATCGCACGAGGGTGAGCTACAACCCAAAACAAATCAGCCTCTAAAATGAAAGCTAACTTATAACTAGTCCCCCCATAGTCCCAAGTCCCCCCATAACCATTAGAACTACCCAAGTAACAAAAACAATAGGAAAATCCATTCTATGTGGATCCCCCAACACAAAAATGGGGCAAGGCAGGTTTTAAAGGACTCTTATATCATCTAAGATTCTAAATGCTGAGGAGAGTCTAAACAATCATGTTCAGTGCCCAACAGAGTGCCACCTGAAAAATGAATTCCATGCCAAGGTGTTTACCCCTGATATTCAGGAGCAACAATAAACTATTTTGGCCACTGTTTCTTCATGGATTCCACAGTGCATATGATTCAATTATCATTTCAGGGTTTTTGAAAAGTTCCCTCTTCTCTCTGTCTGTTAATATGTGGTAATCTTAATCAGGCACAGACAGAAATAGACCAGGAATCCCCCACATGTTCGGATTAAAAAATAGTGATACATAAGAAATACCTTGCAGTGATCCTCAGAGATCCACTTCCATTACAAGTGCTATTGGCAATGGATCCCACCAGCTTTACAACCACAAAATCAACACAATAAGCAAGAAGCTCCATAGGAAATATACCTCCAAGAAGCTCCAAGGCTTGAATGGACAATTCCATCCAAGAAAAATAAAAACAAAACAAAACAAAACAGTAGATTCCTTGTCATCTAAACTGCTTGCTCCTACCCAAAACAACTCGCAGAATCCAAATCTACAATGACCCTTCCCACCAGGAAGTCTACCAAAGACAGTTTCACCCCACACTCCTTTCTATCCTTCCCAAGTAAGCCAACCCACCTCCTATCTTGACAAAATGATTGTTCTTAAATTGCATTAACTTCCATGAATGAAGAGTAAACAGTCTTTCTTCCTGGGCAGTTATCTCCCTAAAAAAAAAAAAAAAAAAAAAAAAAAAAAAAAGACACACACTTTGTTCTTTACGGTATGTTCCCAGGGTGCTGAATCCTCGTGTACAGTTTAAATGACTGAACATTCAGACCGAGGAAGGCAAGAAAGCAAACAGGAGGATACAGAAGATCAATACATTTTGAAGTTTTCCGTGACACACAAAAAGCACACAGGGCATAACACCTAACACATTCACATCCGTATGTGCACCTGAAGCAAGCATCAAGAAATAATACTTGGTCTAGGTACAATGCACAGTGATCTCTTCTTCTTTTTCTTCTTCTTCTTTTTTTTTTTCTTTTTTAATGATGGCCATGATCCACTAAACTGGATCCCAGCTAACCAATGGGACTTAGTTTGAATGGGAGTTCAGTTTGAACTGCAACAAGTCACACCTCCCAGGGGCATTCCACAAGCTACTAATGAACCCTTCAAAAAGCCAGCGGCCAGGGATCCCTGGGTGGCGCAGGGGTTTGGCACCTGCCTTTGGCCCAGGGTGTGATCCTGGAGACCCGGGATCGAATCCCACATCGGGCTCCTGGTGCATGGAGCCTGCTTCTCCCTCTGCCTGTGTCTCTGCCTCTCTCTCTCTCTCTCTATCATAAATAAGTAAAAAATTAAAAAAAAATTTAAAAAGCCAGCGGCCAGCAGAGAAAAACGACCAATCACAAGAACCAGACACAGCCAGGTGGGCGATGCCCTTCCTCCTCCGTCCAGTCCAGCAGCCGGGGTGTAAGTAGCTCCTAATCTCCCAGCTTGGAAAAACCAAGTCACCCAACGGGACTCCATCACATGCCCTTCTGTTACCCTGCTTGTGAATTCAGTCCAATCTCTTAGGACGGCAAAGTTCACTTACTGCCCACTCTGGAGAGCAAGACTTCCTTTATGTCCCCAGACCGACCCCCTTCACGCCTGAAGGAAGAGAGCCTTCCCCAAACGCAGTGAACACGCTGGGGCTCTGCATGCCTCTGCGATCTCTTTGTGTGGGTGCCATAGGCACACACAAGCCTGTCCCTCCCTCTCCCTTCCCCTCTCTCCACCTTTCCAGGCTTAGTCCCTGGCTGATGCAGCCTCTGGTGAAATGAGAAACCAGGGAACCCCCTGGAGCCGGGGGAGCCACGCGTCCGCGCGACAGTGAAAGCAGCGGACTCGCTCTCCACACCACAGAAGCGCCTGGCAGGCGAGTCCCAAAGTCGTCGGAAGACAGGCTGGGGAGGGGGGAGGGGAGGGAGGGGAGGGAGGGGAGGGAAGGGAGGGAGGGGAGGGAGGGGAGGGAAGGGAGAGAAGCAGACAAACTCGAGGAGCCGCGGACAGCGACCGGCTGAGGCCGCCCGTCAAAGGCTGGAGCGCAGCGCGGCCCCCCCTCCCAGCACGGCCGCCCGCCCCTAGAAGGCAGGTGAGCGCAGGCGGGGGCGGCCGGCTGCAGGGACCCCGGCGAGCCCCGCGGGGTCGGGGTCGGGGTCGGGGTCAGGCCGGGGTCACCGGGCGCCCCAGCTCAGCGCGACGCCTCCCCTGCCCCTCTGCCCCCGAGGGGCCCACTAACCTCCCACCCAGCCCCGGGGGAGACGGGGCGCGCCTTCCCTGCTGCGGGGAGGAAAGAGAGCGGAGAAGAAGGTCGGAGCTTAATGCCCACTCCCCACCGCCACCCCGCCGTACCGCTCTCGCCGCCCCGGAACGGCCCGCCGCGGGCCTCCCCGGCCCAGCGCCGCCTTCTCCCCCCGCGGCGCGGCCGCGACACTGCGCCTGCGCGCCCGACCCGGCCGGGCGAGCGGCGGTCTGAGCGTGCGCGCGCGCCTTGCGTGTGCTGGCGTGGGGGGCGGGGCGTCCGCGGCCCCGCCCCCTCCTCACCCCCTCCCTCCCCCAGACACTGCCGCGGCCGCCGCAGGAGCCCGGAGCTCGAGCCGCCCAGCGACTCCCCCTCCCCCTCCCCCAGCCCCGCCCCGCCCCAACCCGGGGCTCCGAGCCGGAGCCGAGTCTGCGCCTGGGGGTAAGTACGCGACCCTTCCCCAACCCCTTCTCTTTTCTTTGAGGATCCCACCACCACCCAGAGAAAACCCCGGACTCAGCTGCGTGTCCCCTCCCTTCAGCCTCCTTGCGGGACCCAGAGGTGCCCGGGCCCGCGGGACCCAGTGGTGCCGCGCGCTGCCCCCAACCCCGCGCCATCCTGAGCCAAACACGAGTCCTCCGAGCCCTGCCGAGGGTCCAGATGTGCGCCGCCGTCTGTCCCCACCCCTGGGGAGATCCCGAGGGGTGGGACCCCCGCCCCCGGCCCCCTAGCGCCTCTCTTCTCCCACCTGCCCAGTCCAGGTGCGCGTCCCCCGCGCGCCCCTCCAGGGTTCCAGCTGCGCCCCCACCAGCCCGCTGCCGCCGTGGGGAACCTGCCGCCCCCGCCCCCGAGTTTTGGATTCCAGGGTCGCCAAGTCCACTGCCCTCGGTCTCTTTTATCTTCTCTCCTGTTCCTGGGGCTGAGTACCCCAGAAGCCGGCCCGGGGCAGCGGTTCGGCTCGTGCAAGGGCAGGGTCTGCGGGTGCTGGCTTGAGGCCGGCCGCTCGCTGCCCCCAGCCCGTCTGGGGACTGGTCGCGGGCTGGGGAGGCGACTGGCCCCGTGAGCGTGTCCTCTCCTTGCGCCCCACACAGTGCAGTTCATTCATGAGCCGCCCGGGCCTGCGTTGGAGGGTGCGGTGGGGAAAGGATTCGGACGCGGAACCAGGAGTGGGGCAAAGGCCCTGTTGGGGGGAGGGGGCGCGCTTTGTCCCTCCTGGCCTTCCTGACCGTCTAGGGAGGGCAGTCCCAAAGATTTGGTGCCTTGTTCTTCAGAAGAGAAGGACACTTGGGAAGTGGAGAGGAGAGGTCAGAGGGGCTGCCTGCCCTTGGGGCTCTATGCCTGCCACCTGCCAGGGTCCCCTGGGGGGAGGTCTGTTGGCTCAGCACTCCACTTCCCTGGGGGGCAGGAGAGCCCTGGCTTCTCTACCCAGTACCATCCTCTAGCCTTTCCCTGGGTCTGCCCAGGAAGAATGAGGTTGTGCACAGCCCCTCTTGAGGTCGGACCCTTAGTCTTGCCTCCCAGGTGCATGTGAGGAGAGGAGTGGGAGTGTCTACCAGGCTTCCAGCCCTGATGTGCTGGCAGCATGACTGTCCTCCAGGGCACCAGAGGGTCCAGGCCCTGGCTTGCTCCAGGTGGCACATGCTGGGGCCTGCTGCTGGCTCACCCAACTCAGGCTTGACCTGTGGGTGGGTGGGTAGGGATGTAGCAAGGCAGAAGGCCGGTGGTGGGTGGCTAAAGGTAGCTAGGGTAGCTAACCCCCTTTTGGACATCCTACAAGTTCTCTCCAATTGTAACAGAGTCTTAGAGACCTCAGTTCAAATTCCAGCTCTGCCATTCTTTAGCTGTGTGACCTTGACAAGTTACTTAACCTGTCTGAACCTTAGTTTTGTTTTTTTTTTTTTAATTTTTATTTACTTAGGATAGTCACAGAGAGAGAGAGAGAGAGAGAGGCAGAGACACAGGCAGAGGGAGAAGCAGGCTCCATGCACTGGGAGCCCGATGTGGGATTCGATCCCGGGTCTCCAGGATCGCGCCCTGGGCCAAAGGCAGGCGCCAAACCGCTGCGCCACCCAGGGATCCCTGAACCTTAGTTTTAATATAAAAGTGTGTTTACTACCACCTCCTTACATGATTTGTCATGGGGATCAACTAGATAACACAGGTAAAGAGTCTGGCACCCTGCCTGGTTGTTGATCAATAACAGGTTCTCTTCTCTGAACTTCTGACCCATCCTAGCATAGCATCACCCTCCTATGCTCCCCCAACCTTTCCAACCTGCTACAGATGGATTGGGTATGTTTGAAGAGTTTGGAAACACACCCTGCCACTTAGTGGCTGGGTCCCAAATGCCATATGAGCCCCTAGGTCTAAACAAGAAACCCATCCTGAGTGAGAGGCTCTATTATATTAAAGTCTGTTTTCCCTTATTTTGATTTTGACCAATTTTTCTCCACTAAACCAACCCTTTAAAGCCACACTTTATTAATAACAGTAGCTAATTTTTTTAGAATCCATCCCGTGACTTGAATTGTATTAAGAGTTTTACATAAATCATCTTATTTAGTTCTCAAAACAACCACACTACTGAATTATTCCCATTTTTCAGATGAAAGAACTGAGGCCCAGGGTGGTGAAGTAAATTGGCCCAGGTCAGTAGCCAGATCTGTCTCATCCTAGAGACTGAACTCTTTTTTTTTTATTTTTTTTATTATTTATTTATGATAGTCACAGAGAGAGAGAGAGAGAGAGGCAGAGACACAGGCAGAGGGAGAAGCAGGCTCCATGCACCGGGAGCCCGATGTGGGATTCGATCCCGGGTCTCCAGGATCGCGCCCTGGGCCAAAGGCAGGCGCCAAACCGCTGCGCCACCCAGGGATCCCAAGACTGAACTCTTAACCACCAGGCCCTGTTGCCTGTCATCTGCCCCTCTCTCGAAACCTGAAATCACAACCACAGGGTCTGAGTGGAGGGTCTGGCAGCTACAAGCAAGGAGGAAGACAAACAGAAATAGGGTGTGGCATTTCTCCAGAGCCGTAGCTGACAGCCCCCAGGCCCCTGGTGGAAGCAGCTACTCTGTTGGCGGGGCAGCAAAATGCAGTGGTCAAGAGCATATACTTAAACCAAGTTACCTGAGTCTATATCTGGATCTCTGACAGACAGGCTGTGTGATGTTGGGCAAGTTACGTACCCTCTCTGTACCTCAGTTTCTTCTCAGGATCCTGATGGCGAGGAAATGAGTTGACATGTGTAAAGCGCTTAGAACTGTGCCTGGCACAAAATCAGAGTAAAACAAGTATTTGATAAATGCATTATTTTCCTACTATATTTATTCTCACTTGTGGATACTTTTTAAATGCATTCTTTTCCTACTACCTTTATTCTCATTTGTGGATACTTTTTTGCCAGGCCAGTGAAGTTGGGAGGGGTGGAGCAAGGATGTCAATACTTCTTTGCTACAGTTTGGAAGACTGAGGCCCAGGTTACATAGTAGCAGAGCTGGCCTCCATCATCACCTCCTCCCTTCAGACCTCACTGCCTTCCTATGAGCCCAGGACCTAAATGAAAACTCCCCCCACCCTCACCACACACACACTTCTTAATGGTAAAATAACAACCTTTAGATAGCTGGAAATAAAGTCCTCTGCCACCCTCCACACACTGCTAGCTAAAGCCTCAGTGTCAGACTAGAGAAATTCCAGGATACAGCTGGCTGAGTGGATGAACTGCCCCTGCCCCAACACCTCCCCGCAAATATTCTGCCTCAGTCTCTTCCCTCCTCCCAGCTGCTCTCACTGAAAAGCTTTGAACAGCTGCCCTAGGTGAAGTTCAGCCCAGCAACCCTGCCCTCACAATTTGGAGCTCAGAGTAACCCAGTCAGCCTGAAGAGCCACCAGCCCTGGCTCCACCCTTTACCTGCCCTGTGACCTCTCAGTGAGTTGCTTCTCCTCCCTGGGTCCCTACTTCCTCCCCTGTAAAGTGGGGACAGTGATCTGATCCTGCAAGTGTGCCCTGCCTTCCTGGGTTATTGGTGTAGAGAGGCCGGGGTTGGGGAGAATAAGATCAATGCACTTGTGGAGGGAAGAGTGTTTTGTGACTGTGAAGAGGGAGGCAGCAGATGGGCACAATAATTTCAGTTACTAAGCATCTACCTGGACCTTCACCCATCCTATGGGGTCTCCTTAATATAGAAGCTCCCAGAATGTTCCACCTTCCTTTGGTGTGGAGAGGACTGGGAGGGGGATGCTTCAGGGGTTAATACCCATTGCATTCTCATCAGGTGGAGCCTTGGAATTAGGAAGACAGGCAAAAAGTAGGAAAGGACTGTCTTTATTGCTGGAGTACACTGGAGTTGGGAGTTGACGAGGGAGGCGCTAATGCACAGGGCCCCCAAATACCAGAGACCCTAGCTACCTATACCTACCTTTAACTCTGGTGCCCCAGGGTTCTATGCACCTTGTGTTTACATACCCAGCCTCCCAGGCACACCCACACACACACCTCAATTTAGAGACCAGTTTCCTGCCTCCCCCCAACACACACACAAATAGACACATCAGCACACATCTACACACCTAAACATACACATTCCCACAGTGCTCTGGTGTTTTCTAGCCAGGGAACATTTAATGAGCTTTTATGAAGGTTTCGCGTTTTACAGAGTACTGTTCTAGGCACATGAGAAAAGCATGGTGCCCTGAACTGTGTTCTAGCTTTAAAAAGAGGTTGACCTAGGTTTGAACACCATCATTTTATTAGCAGTGTGACTTAAGGAAAGTTACTTAACCTCTCTGAGCCCCTGTACCCTCATCTTAAAATGGCAATAATATCCAGCCCAAGACTGTTAAGGATTAAGTGAAATTATGTATGTGTTATTCTTGAAACAGTGGGCTCTCAATAAATGGTGCCTGTTGCAATCACTAAATTAATGGGGTTTTTGGTTTTGGAATTTTTTTTTTTAAGATTTTGTTTATTTGAGAGATGCCTGGGTGGCTCCATGGTTAAGCATCTGTCTTCGGCTCAGGGCATAATCCTGGAGTCCTGGGATCAAGTCCCATGTCGGGTTCCTCGCATGGAGCCTGCTTCTCCCTCTGCCTGTGTCTCTGCCTCTCTCTGTGTGTATCTCTCATGAATAAATAAAATCTTAAAAAAAAAAAAGATTTTGTTTGAGAGAGAGTACAGGCGAGCACACAGGAGAGGAGGAAGCAGGCTCCCCACT